AAAATTAACAAATGTTACCTGCAAGGCAGATATAAGACCATTAAATACCATTTTTAAGTATTATGCAGTAAACTGGTTAACACTGTGTTTATTGTAAGGTAGTTGCTGGTTAAATTAACAGCAAAAGAAACAAATAATTAGAGGGGGAAAAAAAAACAGATTAAAGAACCTCCAGATGCCTTCTTGACAGTAAGACATTGAAAAACCTGTCACCCTCAGGCTCAGTTTTCAGACAAGTTTGAGACTGCTGCATTCCACTTCCTGAACACGGCAGCTTTCGATTTTGGCCCCAAGGAAGAGAAAAGCAGCTGTGAGAAAAAGACTTGGTTTGACTCTGCACTTTTAAAGCAACTCATGTAGAAGAGACCAAAACACAGCAGCAAGTCAGTGAAATGTGGGTGGTTGTAAAATGACCCAAATGCAATACCAACATGAAAAATACCAGGCAAATCACATCCTTCAGCCCATTAAAAGCAGGTGGGAAAGTATGAAATGTAAGAGATAATGTAGTCCTCTAGATTAAGTAACCGGTAAGTACTTACCAAGATGAATCCTAACTACTCTTTAGGATCCTGATTACAGGTCCCTACTGTCACCACCAAGGAGAGATTAATTACTTATTAAGTTAGGCACTAGGACACAGACTTCCCATTGTTTTTGTGGATAATATCATACAGGTATTTGAGAAGAAAATGATACGCTGTTATTTTTCCTCCTAAAGTGTCTACCAGGCATACTGCAGCATTTATGGATCCAGTTTCACAATGTCTTTATGGCAGTAGGTGTAGGGAATGCTGCTAAAACAGGTCATCCTATCTGCTCTCATCTTTTTACCCACATTACTAAACTAGTAAAGTGAGGATAACTAGGCATGTATTCTAAACATTGTTAGGACTCTTCCTAAAGACTAAATAATTACTTTATTTTGTATGAGCCACGTGTTGTACTGTGCTCTATAACCCAGATATAAATGTGAGTGAAGAAGACACACAACTATATCCTGGACAATAGGCTGGTGGAAGCAGAAATTATAACATTCATTGAAACTGAAGAAATAGAGACCTACAACCTGAAGTTAACTGAGATTTAATGGGAGAGTACAAAGTAAAGTAGAATAAATCACAAAAAGCTCCTATGTTTTGGCAGAAAAGTATGGAAAGGGAATGAATGTGCCATCAGACATTAATTACAATGGTTGTTAACAGAAAAGAGATGATCATTGAAGTCTGTACACGCGCTGTTCAGGTAGAGGTTCCATGCTTGTCTAGGACTGCATCTGCGGCGACCGAGTCTGGCACACTTTTGTGGGTGCAAAGGTGGGAACAGAACTGCCTGCACATACGGATGTAAAGAGTGCCAAGGAATAGGGGCTACTGGGAATGTAAAGCAGGTCTTGCGCACGCACAGAGAAACCAAAGAAAAGGCTCATTGTCCAGGCTACCTGGAGCAGTGCATAATTACGCGCACATGATGAAACGCGCTGCGGGGCTCTGAGCAGCAGCACAGGGTACCGGGGCGCGGGCGGCCAAACGCGCGGCAGCATCCGCGCCCCGGGCGCTGGGCACCGGCCCGCCCGGCGAGCCGGAGCCCGCCCGGCGCCGGGGTGCGGGAGGAGGGCGGCCGGGAGTGTCGGGACCCGCAGCACGGGGAGGGCGAGCCCCGCGGCACCCGGGAACGCCGGCCGGGGCGAGAGGCGGGCGGCACCGAGTGCCCCCCAGCCCTGGGCGCCCTGGGCACCCCGGCATCGGGGCGGGCCGGCGCGGGGCTCGGGGGGCTCCGCCACTCACCAGGAAACTTTCCCGCCCGCGGCCCCCGCCGCCTCCCCCGAGCCGGGGCGGCGGGTCCCCGGCCCGCCCGGCCCCGCTGCCCTCGCTCCCCGCGCCGCCCCCTCGGGCCGCGCCCTCCCCTCACCTGGGCGAGAGCGGTGCCGGCAGCGCGGCGGGGTCGCGCTCCATCGCTGCGGCGGGGCGGGAGCAGCCCGGCGGCGGTGACAGCTCCGCGCTAGGTGAGCGCCGCCGGCACTGAGCAGGCGCGGAAGCGGGCGGCCCCCGCGATGATGTGGCCCGTGATGCGCAGAGCCGCCGCCACCGGCCGCTCCGAGCCGCCGCTGGGCGGGGGAGGGAGGAGCCGAGCGCCGCCGCCCCGCGCTGCCCGTGGGACGGGATGGGGCGCCGTGCCCGTGGTCGCTCCCAGCCTGGCCCCGGGGCGAGCCCTCGGTGCCGGACTCCCGCCGCCCGCGCTGCGGGACCCGCCGGAGTCCCCTTCCCGCTGCGCCCTCCCGGCCCCTCGGCCGTAGCGGGGGCGAAGCTGCAGCCCCGCCTCGCTGCCCCCGCAGGCGCCCGGCTGATGCCCCGCAGCCGGGGGATGGGGTCCAGGGCGCTCCCCGAGCAGCTCTGGCGGTGCCCGTCCCATTGCTTCCACTCGCAAAAGCTTTCCTGGCGATGTAGCACAGGAGTCGCCGTTTTGTACTGACTGCTGACTGCCAGCTACCAGGACATTGCCGCACTTTACTGCCAGTTGGCTAAAAGCAGCTTTTTCAGGAGTCCTTTTTTTTTTTTTAAGCACTTGGATCAGTTGGAATATTCTTGTTCTTGCCGAACTAGACTTTACACCCTGAAAAGAGCGTTTAAGTCTGCGAGTACCTCCCTCGACATCAGCTGCCTCTAAGTATGGAACCAAGGCCTGGCTGGACTCCTATTTTGCAAAACACTTAATGTCACCACTTTATAAAAACAGTCAAGCCGGCTAAATCTGTGCATTTATTATCAGTATTAATATTATTCCTCAATTGTTGCTTGGTACTTTGGTGAGGATGCCTTAGCTGGAAGGTGAGAGGGAAGAAAGAGGATGAAAAGAGAATATTTAATGATGGTGACAGCAGCCAAGCCTACAACCTTTTCCTGTCTACAGAGAGAAAAAAAAGGCACAGGCAAGTCATCAAGTGTCTGCCATAAACTGGAGCTAGCTGCGGTGGGGATATGTGGAATAGCAGAAACTTAAGCACAGGGAAATGTATTTGCAGGACTGGGGCCAAAACATTCTGTGCTATGAGAGTGAAACATACAGAATCAGCTTGAACACTCACATCAATACCACCTTAAATGAATGAAGCAGCCCAAACCTCAGAGGTAATAATTCAGCGGTCTCAGTCCTCTATTTATTGGGGATTTGGGCTGCAGATACTGTAGCTTGCCTACCCTAGTAAGCAACCCTATGGCTGTGTGTGCTCAGATGTTACACAGCATGGATACTTAGCTGGGCTACCCTACAAATCAGATAAAGATTACATCTGCCATTGTTGCCAACAGGTGAGACTGTAAACCTGAGGTTTGGGAATAGAACCTGAGGGTGCTGTTTCTGGCTTTTCTAATTGCTTGTCTGGTTATCTTGGGCAATCACTTCATAGCTCCCTACTACAGATTCCTTGACAGCATTATGCCCCACCCTCCATGGAAATCATATAATACCCATGGATGAAATATACTGTTTGAGGTTCACACACTATTATTTTGGGTTGGGTATTTTGGGTTGGTATAAATTCAGAAAGACTCACTTTTGAGGCCCAAGGCAAAAACCTCAGCCCTCAATATTTTTCAGTCATTAAAGCTAGCAATGGGATTTTTCTGAGAAATGGAAATTCTGGAGCACATTTAGGGAGAAAGGTACAAACCAGGTTGCAAATTCAGTGGAATGCACCTGGCACTGTGGGTGAGCTGTGGAAGAGGCAGAGACACTTGTTTGGGACAGTCTGTCAGGAAAAGAGCAGGGTGGCCTCTTGCTTGAGGCCTTGCAGAGGTTTGCTTCTTATTCATGCTAGTTCCAAAATGCTGGGATCTGGGTGGTTGTGTGGTTGGGTTTTTTCCTGTGTCCTTTGCAATGAGGGCCTATAAACACCACTTACCTGATTACAATTTTTTCTCATTTTCATCTTGGACTTCCCATTTTATTTCTTATGAACAATTCAGTTTTCTTTTTGCAGCTTTCACATTGTCTAAATGTGAAAGGACAGAAACTGCAGGACAGATAGGGACAGGTAAGGACAGAAACTGCAGAGCAAATCCTGAAGAACAGGTTGGCCAGTGTCTGCTGAACTTGGTGGTTGTGTAAGTTTCTTTTCCAAAGGATGAGTAAAACTCCCTCAGGCTCTGATATTTAATTTTAGGTTCATTTTCTAAATTCTGAAAATGAAAATGGGGGAGTTTTGAGAGACAAGCAGCTACTGACAGGTGTTCAGGTGATGTTTCCTGCTGGTGGCTTGGTTCCACATGCTCATGGCACTTCATGGTGATGGGATGGACTTCTTGTGCCCAATCACAGAATCAGTCAGGTTGGAAGGGACAATAATGGATCGTCTGGCCCAACCTCCCTGCTTAAGCAGGGTTGTCTTTGAGCACTTTGCACAGAATTATGTCCAAACAGTTCTTGAATATCTCCAGTATAGGAGATTCCACAACCTATTCCAGTGTGTGGTCAACTGCACAGTAAAGAAGTTCTTCCTCAGCCTCAGGTGGAACTTTCCTGTGCATCATTTTCTGCCTCTTGTCCTGTTGCTTGGCACCACCACGAAGAGCCTGGCTCTATCCTCTTGTCACCCTCTCTTTACAAACTTACGTACATTGACGAGATCTCCTCTCAGTCATCTCTTCTCGGAGCTAAACAGGCCTCCAACTCCCTCAGCCTTTCCTCTTACAGAGATGTTTCAGTTCCTTGATGGTTGTTGCCTCCGCTGGACCTGCTCCGGGACCTCCATGTCCCTCTCGTCCTGAGGAGCGCAGAACTGGACAGAGCACTCCAGATGTGCCTCACCAGGGTGAGCAGATGAGCAGGACAACACGGCTGGCCTCCGTGCGTTTGCCCTTGTTGTGTTTCGGAAGGTCCGAACCGATCCATGACGATCTCCGCGGCGCGCCGGCCCCGCTGGCCCACACGGGAGCGGGCGGCAGTGCCCGCGGTCCTCCCGCCCGGCAGGGGGCGCGCAGCCGCCGAGCGCGCGGGCCGCTCCACTACCGTGAGGGCTGGCGCATGGCGGGGCCCGGCGGCGCGGCGAGGCCCGCGGCTTCCCGGGAGCTGCTGGACGTGCGGCACCGGCCAGGTGAGTGAGTCCGGCACCGGCCAGGTCAGTGAGTCTGGCACCGGCCAGGTGAGTCCGGCACGGCCTGCAGCCGGCTCGGCTCGGCTCGGCCAGGCAGCCCGAAGGAGGTGCTCGTCGGGCCGCCGGGCTGCTGGTGACCCACTCGTGGTCGCATCAATACAGGTCGTGCCTGTATTGAAGAGCTGCTTTCCCGGGGAGGGGTAATGCGAAGTAAATAAGCGGGGAAATCCACGTTTAACTATGGGCAGTCGTAACAACGTTTTTATGAGACCAAAGAAAAGAGTGAAAAAGACAGAACGCTTCGCTTTAATTAACGATACCAGGCGGATGGCGGCGCTGGCGGTCATAAGGATTAATGAGGATAATTGGTGCCGAATTGGCCGACACGGTTTGGGTTTTACGGCGCTGCTGCTGCTGCCTACTGTTAGTGGAGGTCATTGGCACCGGGATTTAAATCAGTGCGACTGGCACGCCTCGGCTCCCACCTCACCATGCCTTGCTGTGGGGTATTAGAGGTTTTTCTATGCATTATGAATCTCGCTTAATCAATCTCTGGCTCAAAAACAGCTTAAGGAACTTTAGCTTAAACTTGAGGAGTGTGTGAATACTGACCTGCAGGGTGAGACCCCTGACCCCTGCAGCTCAGTATTTCTCCCAAGAGCAGCAAAAGCAGATGACAATTACGGAGAACTTGACAGCTTAAGCACTTCAATACTCGTTTGTTTGTTTGCAGGCCTGGAAGACATTTTGCTGATTAATTCCAAGTGTAGCAGCAAGAAGGCCACAACTTTACAGACGGTTAAGGTGCCAAGGAGTGATGGTAAGTAATGAGGAGCTTGTCTCTGGAACCGTGTTGAGTAGTAGGTAACATTTGTGACACAACTTTTGCTTCAGTGCTTTCCTTGAAAAGGTAGGGGGAGAAGCTTTTGTGTTCAGTTTCTACAGGTGTAAGGTCCTCCTCCCATTACAGTTCCATGTCCCACTGGTGAGTCAGGTAAATGCTGCTGCTGCAAAATTACATTTTGCAGTGTTAGGAGTTACAGCTCTAAGTGTTAGGGACAGATTGTTCTTTCCTAGTATGGAGTTGTTGCTTGGGCCTCTTATCTCTTTTTAGAATTAACTTCTCTGTGTGATATGTTAGTTGTATGAAAGCATTTAATTTAAAAAGGACTCCTGTCAAATTATTTCATTTTTTGTTTTGTGATTGAGTTGAACTTTAAAAAGATTGTTACATCAAATTCTTTGTTGGATATAAGTTGACAAAAATGACAGTATTTCAAAGGTAGATTGTTACTGTTAGACTTCTGTGGAGCTCACCTGGAATAGTACCTCTTCTTAAAGAAAGAAACCAGTGTTTGGCTCATCTGCATGTGTGGGGCAGTTTATTTGAAGAAATTCTGGAGGTGGAAATATTGTCTTCCTCCATGGAAGGGATATGAGTGTGATTCTCCTAATTCCATTGATTACCTTAAAATTCCTGTGAAGTCCCACTGAGCTGTAGAGGATAAGTGCTTTATACTTCAACCTGGAGCTTCCATCTCTCTCCCACCATCTTAATTTCAGGGTTTCTTTTGTTAATTATATTGACCTTTCATTAGTCTATCATGACATCTGCTACAACTAATTTTTCCATCTTCTTTGAGACCTTCAGTCTATACTTAATTATTGTAGACAGCTGGAAATCAGAGTTGAAGCAGTATCTGTTTAAAGGCTCATTTCTGAGGTGTGAACACTAATGAGCATCTCTTTATCTATATATGTATATATATAATATATGTGATATTTGTTTCTTTTCAGTTTTGGACCGAGTACAGAGCTTTTTGCCACAGATGGCCCAGGCAAATGATGAGCTCAAAAGAAAAATGGTAACAGCACCTGCTCATCAGTTTGATATTGAACATCTAGACAGTGAAACAGAAAAAGTTATAGAAATGGTAAATATGTATATTTTTTATTTTAACATAAATCTAGATGGAATTAAAATAACTCTCTGATCTTAGAATGAGTAATATGATAGATAAAGTGAAGTCTTTACCATTTTCTATGAAGTCTTTATCATAGTCTTTGATCTGCTAATTCAAAACATAATGAACATCCTTATTTGGTTGAAATTTACGCCTTGGTTTTCATACTTGCAGAATTTAATCACTGGGGATGAAGTAGTTTAAGAACAGAATAAGACATGCTTTTGAAATGACAGCTCTGTATCAGAAGTCACAAATTGTATTTTAAATGTCTCCTGGGTGATTTGGTTTAGAAACTGAACAATATAAGGCCTAATAAGGCATAACAGAAAGCTTAGTGTAAGAGTAATAACTGGCTTTCAGCTCTGCTCTATTCATATTTTTAGGAATGACTAGATCTTGGGTTTAGAAAAGTTGTTAGTGTTGTTGTGATCCTTTGTTACTGGTATTTGTCTATTTATTTACAGTCACATATATATTTTTTTTCTGGTTTTAACTGAAGTGCTGCAGCCACATGCTTATATAAGAAAACTTTATTATGAAGGTGATACATGTGCATGACCCAGCCAAATGCCTTCTGGCTAAGCAGAAATTATGGCTCTGTATATGGATATATGAGATCCTTTAAAAAATACCTTATAAATGAATAAATATATAATATATGAGATCCCTTCAAAAATATCTTGGTGGTTTAAACTGCTTTCAGTTTTAGAGTACTTGTAATGCCCTGAATACTATTACATTATAAAATCTGAATTATTTTTTAATATATATGCACACCTACATGTTTGTGTATTTGTCAACACCTTATGCAGTAAATTATTTCATTTGAATTTTTAATTGAAAAGTGGTTTTGATGCCTGCTGCTCATCACTTTAAATGCCTGATTTAGACTATCTGAGTTCAGCTGTTGACTCAGTTCTTTCTTTGATAATGGTATAAATATGGCCTTAGATTTGCTGTAGGCCAATATAAATTTCAATTTAAATATTAGGGAAACTTCATGATATTCATCATAATCCTAGAAAAACCCAAAAGTCTTTTTTATTGTGGTAGTGGTTTTCTTATGGTAGTAGGCTGTTTAATATATTTGCCTTATGTTTTACTCCAGTGATAGAAGTGCTGTAGTGTGTGTGTGTATATATATATGTAATATATATAATGTGTTAACCAAGATTTTTTTTTTTTTTTTCAGAATGTTGCTGTAGTTGAGCTGAGTGATTCTGATACAGATGAAGAGTTGCTGACTTCAGAAGATGACTCAGAATCTGATGAAGATGACTCTGCAACTGATGAAGTGACAGTAGACAACATTAAGTTTCCTAAACAAAAGGGAGAAAAGGGCAAAATAGAAATTTTGGACAGCAAAGCAAATGAGTAAATCTATTTTATTTTACTTAAAAAACCCCCAAACCAACCAAATCGTGTTTTCTCGCTTTGAAGAGTTGGCCCTGAAAACCACTTTGTTTCCCAATGTAGCATCTCTCAGGATCCTGTGAAATGCTGTAGTTTACATGGTGGAGATTTCAGGATCCACTCATGACTGGGGAAAGCTGGATTTTGGAAGAATTAAGTGTGATTTGATTCATCAAATAACAGGGAAATGCACTTCATAGTAGATTACACCAAGAAAACAGCTTGAGTAAGGGGCACTTGAAAGTTAAAAATTATTGTTCTATTGCTTTGTTGAAGAAAGACCTTTTTTTCATAGGAAGATAGTTTTTTCTTCAAGGGCAAGAAAGAGTTAACTAGGAAGAAAGCTTTGTTTTTATATTCCACGTCCTGTGAAGAGTTTATGGACTCTCTTCAATATTAAACATGATCTTTAATAGCTCACAGGTATGCCTACATTACATTCATGGCAGTGACTGCTGAACACTGGAACTGTGACTGAGCTCATTTCTGGCTGAGCCAGCCTGGGTAAGGACAGCCATGACCAGAGAGTTCAGCAAAGGGTTATTTACCCTTTGTGCCTGCACTGAGCTCCACACCAGCACAGGAAGGTTACAGGCCCATGTGGGAAATGTGTGTGGCTGTGGTGCAAACGCCTTCCATACTCAAAGCATCAAGGCTGCCTCTCGGGTGTTATGATAGCTTTAAGCTAGACTTTTCATCCCCCAATTTCCCTTCCATGTTTATAATCTCTGTTAACAGCTGTCACTGACAGAAGGATGTAAAGGTGAATTTTCAGCTGGCCTGTATTTAAGTAGGCTTGACACAATTGTGAAACCAGAATCAATGAAAGTGTGTCCCATTCATGCTTACCTCAGATTGATCAAATACAATGGTATGGGCCATTACATTTACTTCATAAATCAGTTTGCATTTCAGAAGTATCTGTCATGCTCCTGGGTATCATTGTTTCTTAAAGGAACTTTGTATTTTCTACACCATTAAAGTAAAATTTCCTATACTGTATTTGCTCAAATATTAAACTTAATGTCATGACTTGAAACCTGCAGTTATTTTTAGAATTAATTTTGAATCCCGTGCATGAAGTTCTAGTTTTAATACCTGTTTCTGTAGTATTTGTGGTAAGAAATAACAAGGATTCTGGTCTTCCTTTTACAATGTGGCCTAAATGTAGGATGGAGACATGATTTACTGATTAAACCATGGAATATTTTAGTGAAGTGGAAGGATGGGAATCGAAGAATCAGACTGCTACCTTTAATAGCAGCCCACAGATAGTCAAAGCTTTGGGTGTTTTTGCATTCTAAGAGCAAGGAGTCTTAACAGGCTTAGTTAAATAAGGTCTCAATCTATAGAAAATTTCTTCCAATCTGAAAAAAGTTTGAAAGCCAACATCTGACCTTGGTCATTTTACAAAGGATTTTCCCACAGATTTAAAAAGAACCCAAAAGTGAAATACAAAGTAATAATCATGCAGTATGAAACAGTGATTACAGTCCATGTGCACAGACACAAAAAGTGATTTTAATCCATTAATGTAACCACCTTTCAAATTGCAGGCAGATCACACATTCTGTATCAACAAAAAGGTAGAAAATATTTTCAGTAACTTTAGCTTGATATGCATAGTTTAACACCAATATTGAACTCTGTATTACTATACAAAGATCATAGTAAGTGCACTTCCTTGCATTGATTTACTTCTTATGGCACAAAGGTTTTCTGTACTGCTGAAAAGTCACCAGAGCAGAGTGTTTAATTGCTACCGTAAAACCTGAACTGGTTTATAGCAAAGATGGCATCATCAGTATATTTTAGTTCAGCTTTAGAAGACTAATAACTAAGGATTTTAAATGATAATGTAAACATGTAACAGAAATATGAAGTAGGTATGTGAGAACTTACTCTTCAGTTCTATTTAACAAAAATAAACTGAACCATATTCTTGGGGAGGGGGGTTAGGGAGAAATTGTGCTACTAACTGTTGCTGCTACATAATTTAAATAACTTCAGGGTGATTTCCAAAGGCCATTGTCTATCAGACTAAAATTTAGACCAAATTTATAGAAACTTATCCATAGAATGAGTATTTTGTTTTGTTTTTTTGGTTGTAGCACTGCAGACAGCATATCCTAGGTGTGGTATCAAGTGCTTCATGTAGTCATCAAGATTCAAACTCTGCTGAAAGTCTATTTCTCAAGTGAAGCTGCTACTTTAATATTCCACAGTGATGGCTTTGGTTCTGAGATATTCATGAAGAGCTTCTTCACCTGTACAAGCACAATATTGAACTGTTAAACAGCAGCTAAATTAATTTTGTCAGAACATAACTATTATTAAGAAAAAATTTGAAACACTCTAGCCAATATTTGAGTCCTTAAGGAACAATGAAGACTAATTACCTTCCCACTGTGATTTACAGAACTGGTTTGACAAGAGGCCAGACCCAACAGATGTGTAAGAAAAAAGAACTGGAATTTAGTAAGCAGCTCCCCAAGCAGCAGCAGTCCTTAGATGGCCACTGGGGGCCCATAGCTGAATTTATGAGCTTTGCTTCTCTTCTGTTAAAGGTCATAGGTAGAGAAGCTGTGTGAAAATCAGTAATCTTTTTTTCCTTGACACCATCAGTCATTTTGGTTTCAGGAAATGTCTTTGCAGCTTCCAAAAGAAAAAAATCTATTGTGTGAATAAAATTTGGTTTTCCTTTTTTTCTCTGCCATGAAGCTTGATCTGTCCAAACTTGTGAAGCTTTTTGGACAGAGTGACTTCACTTTTCTAAAAAATTGTTTTGAAAAGAAAATATTTTGTTATGCATTTTTCTCTGTGGCTGTTGGCAAATTTTGGTGACATTTTAAGGTATAAAAAAGTTTCCCATGCTCTTACTTAGAGAAGAAACCTAAATTAGCGTTCTCTCTGAGAGAAAGAATATTTTGGCCAATACCATTTTTACTTGACAGCCTTTTGTAGCCTGTACAGAGCTCTGGACAAGCTGTATTTTATTTGTCTGCTTTCAGAGCAGTTGGAGAAGAATGCTCTATGTTACTCGGCAAATGTACAGGAAAAGCTGAATGGGAGGAATTAAGTGGGAATATTTAGGGAAGGAGAGGAATTGGATTACTGTAATTGGAGGAATGTAGGAGATGCAGGAAGTGCACCCATAGCTCATTTTTTACTAGATACACTGTACCCAGACAGTACTTTCATTGATTAGGACTCAGACAAGAAATGAGGGAAGGAGACAACTTACCTAAATCTTTCCCAAAGCCAGACAGCTTAAATCCACCAAATGGTGCTGCCACATCAGTTTTGTTGTACGTGTTAATAAAAACTGTCCCAGCTTCTAGTTTTTCACTGATGTAGAGAGCTTTGTTTATGTCTTTTGTGAAAACTCCTGAAGCTAAGCCATATTCTGTGGCATTTGCCCGTTGCAATACTCCATCGACGTCCCTATGGGGGAAAGAAATTACTTAACTTTTACAACTAGGTAAATTAAACAAGTGTTAGCAACCTTCCACCTTCATTGTCATTGAAGCAACTTTTCACATGGCCTGTCTTCTCGAGTGAGATTTTTTAAGGATGCCTTATTAAGGACAAATTTGTGTGTCAATCTGGCAGATCCACAGAAACTCACACCCTTGCTTCAAGCTTGCAAAGCTCATAACCTCACATTTCAAAGGTTAATATCTACACTGAGAAATGCCATGGGAAATGTTGCTACTGTACAACTTGGGAATTAGAGCAATACAAATATGCCTGCAAAGGACAGCATGGCAGCAGATGATGAATCAGTTTGCTAAAATTTTGTCCAGCTTTACAAATTACTGCAGAATAAAAGCTGGAATTTAAACAGCTATCAAGACACAAATTTCAGGCCATTTCCAGAGTGCTATTTTCTATCTGCATCTCATTTCCATACAGCTTCAAAAATCAATAGTAGTTTAAAAAGATTCAATACAGTCCCTTAAGACTATAGAATTTATGGATGTGAAGGGTTATTTACATGGCTGGTTCTTAACTTTGTTATCAAACTGCAGAAGATGAAACCTGGTGGAAATAATTATGTGAAGTTTCTATGCAGGGTTTTAATCTCATCTGTATGTTAAATAATTCTTATGATCTGGAATGAAAGATATTAGAAATGACAGTTTACTAAATATACAGAGGAATTTTCATTTGCAACAGTAATGTGCCAGTGTTACACAATACACAACACTGCAGATTTCTGTAAGGGGAAAAATAAGTAATTCCACTGGGAAAAATACACAATTCGTAATTTGATCAAGCTGTTGCAATTACCACACAAACTTCACTAACACATTTCACTACATACTGCTAGGTATTCAGATTTAACAAAATACTGTGTATGCTGTCACTTCTTCACTTAGGGTGAAAATGGGAAAATAGTTTCTAGTGGTAACCAGAGGAGCACATACCCATTTTTAAATTTAGAGATGACCATCACAGGACCAAAGGATTCTTCCTGGGCAATATACATATGGTCTTCAACATCTGTGAACACAGTGGGTTCCATGAAGAAACCTAGAGAGAGGATAGAGCAGCATTTGAGCATGGCAAAAGTGCTTAAGGATTTGCCATTGTCCAGGCTATTTCTGTCCCGTACTTTGAGGTCATAAATAACTTGCAACTTGAAATAGAAAATAGATATGAATGACATATGAATGGAAATGCACGCACTTCAAGAGAAATGGCTGGCAAAAGGGTAGAAGAATGGCCTGCATTGATCAGAGACAACATGCTGTTTCCTGCCAGGCTGGAAGGTCTGCATGCCACAGCCCAGGTGACTCCTTGGGGCAAGACCCTGTACTCTGACAGCAGGAAGACAAGGTTACAGCAAGACACAGAGGGCACTGTTTCTCTTGCTACCCAACAAGAAGATAGATTGTAAGATCTGAATTAAGATCTTGTACTTCATTTGCACAGCGTCTCATAATATTAGACTTGAAAGCTCTGTGGGCTTACCTGGTACTGTGTACTGTTCCCATGATACTGCAACTCCACAAAATACAGCTGAGACAATCATCACAGCTCTTGCATAAAGTGTAAAAGTTGTAAATACCTCTGGAAAGTAGTTTACCTGGTCTATGTACTTGTCTTCCTCCATACACCAGCGTGGCTCCTTCTTTTACTCCAGTTTCACAATATTGCAGCAGCTTTTCCAAATGTGCCTTGTGATTTTGCGGACCATGATCTGTAGATCTGTCAAGTGGGTCACCAATTTTCATCTTTTTTATTTCTTCAACCTATGGGTTACCCAATTAAAATAAAGTTACATAACACAGCAATATTGTTAAAGTGACTAGAAATTTGGAATGCTGCATTTATTTGGTGCTATGAAGATTGCATCTAAGAAATTACTGGATTCTTAGATATAATCCTTCTCCCTTTTTAAAATGAGGCTTTTTTTTTTTTGGTTCCATAATGTCTAATTACTTCTGGAAGTTTTTGATGCTTTCTTCATGTGTATATTCTCTTCTGCTATTAAGACAGACACGTAAAATATAATTTTTTACCAATGGTAAATTACTTAAGACGGTGATTTCCTGTTCTTAAGCAAAATAAATGAATTCTCCAGTAGCACAGAATGGTGACTGTTAGATTTTTAATGACCTTTAAGTGACTTTTCTATTATTCTAGCTATGCTTCCCATATTCCTTTAACTTTACAGAAGCCTCCTTCAATCACATTGACCTGAGTTCAGTAATTATTTGTAATCTTATTTACCTAGTCAAATATGAACTATCACTGAAGGTATAATATCTATTTAACTGTCACTTATCTAGGCATTATTGGTGCAATTATCTTCCTTCAGTGCTTCCTTTTAACCCTATAAGAGGATCCTGAGAAGCAGCACTATCATATGCAATAATGAGAAATTAAGCAGCTGAAAACAGGAAACACAAGTGTCTATAAAACTAGTGGATTCTTCTGCCACAGTAAAATATATGCTTAAACTTTAGTCCTTGAATATGTTGGAGTCTGGAATACAGAGTGTGTGCCCTTGTTTCTGATACTTAGTTATAAGATTTAGAAAAACATTGAATTTCATATAATATGAAATTCATGAGCATGTTTTCATGGTGATACATGAAAACAAATGTTAAAGTTAGATGAAAAAAGCTAAAAGTGTAAGTGTATAGATTAGAAAGTTTTTTTAATCACTGGGTAAAAAAGTTAGTTTAGAGAACAGGAGACAAGATGGAGGATTTAGGGTGTTGTCCCTTGTCCCTTCTTCTTTCTTCTTCATGTTCTTCTCCTAGAGGTTTTTGAGTAATAGTAAGTGATTGGATA